ACTTGGAGTAAACAATGCCTCTAAAAATACAGAAGTGCTTGCTTGGACATGCTCCCCATTGTATCCAAAAGAGTAAGTTCAGTTTTGTATGACAGATTAAGAAAAGACCATTCTTGAATAGTATTGCACTCAACTTGGGAGAACTATAAAAAGACAGAAATACCCATTTCAGGATCTTGCTGTAATAAGACTGTGACAGTCACTTACAATAAACTGCTTTTGATGTGCTGGTAAGAGCCCCATCCATAAGCTTTTATTTCTTTCCAATACATTTTTTTTAACTTGGCTTATGTAACTGTTTAACACTTACAATAAAGTTCTCTAGGCCTGTTGAAAGGCCTTGATGTAGCTTTTCAAGATCCTACTCAACTTATCCTCTTGCTCACAATGGCTGTTTTTTTTTCAGTCTGCGCTTAGGTCTCACACCCATTCATTCTGTTCAGATTAGGGCAGTTAGTGATGACCACAATGAGAACCTTTCCCTCTACACCACACCTTAGAAGCTTTCTCCTCTTTTTTAACCTCCTCTTTCTATGCAGCACACAATGTAACAGTGGTTTAAATATGCTTGTAACCTTGAATGTCTCTGCAGTGATGCATAAACAGAGATCTAAGGCAAATTTTCTGCAGAGCTCTAAATATATTTTATTAGCACTGAGACATATAAGTTTAGGTTGAGCTTTTACAATGATACATAATTTTTATTTAGAATCTGTACCCCTCCATGCCCACTGGGCAATAGATGCATATGTTCAAGCCCTTATAGCTCTTATCTTAAGACATCTTCATCTACTTCTCCATATGGTGGCAGTCACTGTTTAAAACAAAACAAAACCAAAAAATCTCATTGCATGTATGAATTTACTTATGCTTGAAAGACCTCGGGTTCCATTGAACTTTTAATCTGAGAGGCTTAAAACACTAGAAAATAGGTTGCACTGGGCTAGAGGCTTTTTCCATCTTTTCAGAAGAAAATTCAGGATTACTCTGTTTTCAAGATCATTGAATCCAACCTTTGTCATAGCTCTATCAACACCACTAAACCACCCCCCTAAGTACAACACCTACCCGTCTCTTAAACACCTCCAGGGATGGTGACTCCACCACCTCCCTGGGCAGCCTGTTCCGATGCCTGACAACCCTTTCAGTAAAGAAATTCTTCCTAATATCAAGCTTAAACCTTCCCTGGTGCATTAAGGCCATTTCCCCTTGTTCTATCGCTTGTTACCAGGGAGAACAGACAGACCTCCACCTCACTACAGCTTCCTTTCAGGTAGTTGTAGAGAGTGATAAGGTCTCCCCTCAGCCTTCTCTTCTCCAGGCTAAACAGCTCCAGATCCCTCAGCCGTTCCTCATATGAGACAGGCTCCAAACCCTTTACTAGCTTGGTAGCCTGCCCCTGTACCCTCTCCAGCTCCTCAAGGTTCTTCTTGTAGAGAGGGGCAAAAAACTGGACACAGTGCTCGAGGTGCAGCCT